ATGTCTCTAAACCCCACATGCGCGCGTGACCTATACCACGTGTTTCTTCTCAATGCCACGTGTTCTCTATGCCACGTGTTTCTTCTCAATGCCACGTGTTCTCTATGCCACGTGTTTCTTCTCTGGGCCGCGTGTGCCTCTTATTGGCAGTGTAAATACAAGGAAGCATTGCATCGGCAGGCGTATTAGAAGGCACCGTGTAGTGTGGTTTTGTATTGATTGATCCCTGTTACCGTTACTTTGTGAATAAACAAGTCAGACTTTTAATGATGTATTTCGTTGGCCTCTCCCGCCGAGATCGCCACGGTGGCCGGGCGATGTTAACTACCTCGCCTGGTATGCAGGAGGTTGTGGGGATCGATCCAGACCTTGACGCTCGCTGTATATTTGGAGTTTGCGTGTCTTTCTCCCTATGGTCGTGTGGATTTGTCTCTACGGGTCCTCCGGGTTTTCCCTCCACGTTCAGAATCAACAACACGCTTTGTTTAGATTATCTGGCTGCTATAAATTTCGACACGATCATTAGCCACTTCGCTGAGCTATCATTTGTGGCCCAGGTCGCTTCTGAAACAGAGCCATACAGCTCAGCGGGTCTTACCTGATGAACTAAAAATATTTTTCATAAAATAATTTATAGTTTTGATCCGGTCCTATATGTGGATGAGTGTGACGCTGTAGCGGTTAGCTGTGGTTCGGGGCCGTCCATAAATGACGTCACGCACCTGGGGGGGGGCAGACATTTGTGACGATGTGTGACGAGGGGGGGGGGGTGAGAAATGTGACGTCACATCAAAATGCGCAACTTTAAATAAATATAGACAACACGTTCTACTTAATTAAATAGACTTTGTAATAAATGTTTTCTCCTACAACATCAGAGTGCAGCGCCACGTTAAATACGCACTACAATGACAATAGTTTAAAGCGATTTGAAGCATGTTTTATTTTTTTGGGGGGGGGGGGCAGAGCTTTGTGACGTCATATTTGAGGGGGGGGGGTCTGACTTTTTGTGACGCCGTGTGACGAAAGAGGTGGGGGGTCAAAAATCGTCCAAAATCGCGTGACGTCATTTATGGGCGGCCCCTTAGCGCGCTGCATGATGAACCCGGCGACCCGAATTTGATGCCGCCTCACGGCCACCAATACCGATGACATTTATCTCTGAACCGGCTCTGAGCGTCCCCTAGGTCGACTCAGCTTCAAATGAGTACCTGGTCCGATGTGTAAACATAGCCACGAGGGAGACAAAGGCGGCCGGGCGTGGTGCTGGACACCCATCCGCTCGTGTGCCGTGTCGGCCTTAATAGGTGCTCGCTAACAGCACTTGCTCCAAGTCTATTGTAGCCTATATGGGAGACCTTTGATGCTGGCCTCTAAGTGCACCTAGCCTGGCAAAAAATCCGTAACCACGTCACGACTGCGGCTGTTGTATTTCAACCCCCCCCCCCCCCTCCTTAAAAGTGCATCTTCAAGTGACTCTCATTAACCAACTCTCAAAAATCCACATTATCGCGGCCAGTCCAGTCCATCCATCCCTCCATAAACCGACGTCACCACGTGTACCACCACGTGGCCCCGTTCCCCAGTGACCTCGCCTGAGACGAGGCTCTGAGACGAGGCTCCCTGCGGGGACAGCCAATGGCAAGCTCGACTTTCCATCCTCGGCCACGGCCCAATTTTAAGACCACCAAAGTTAAAGGGGTCAGAGGTAAACTATGTGTGTGTGTGTGGTTGTGCTTTTAAAGCACCTATAATTAAAGGCACTTAAAAAAGGACGTTCGAGTTCAATGTGTTTAGTTAGTTCTTCCCCGCACCTTCGATTAGTGCGAAATAAGTTCTACATACATGCATACCCACTTGCAGCAGCCTGTAGGCTGCTGTGTTCTCTGTACTACCCTTTGAGTTCTCATACCTATCAGTCCCTTATCAGCGCCTACTTTATTACAGGCCGATTCAGACCTTATTGGTCACCCCGTGCCGTTATAAATCTCAACGTTCAGCCTACAGTTTCATCACAAGGGAGAAACACAGACACATTTTTTGCCCCTATTGAAACGGCTGTACGCCGTATGGACCTGAAATACTCAATTTCCATGTACAGCTGTGTGTGTTCTGGCCATCTGGCTTGCACCACATCCGTTCTCATTCCGTTCTCATTTGTTTGTGTCGTTGTCGCACTGAGGGGTTTGATCTGCCCGTTTCCATCGTCGGTTCCATTTACTCCCGACTGTCTTTATATTTTTTCTGCGTTAATATCAGTGACATTTATTGTCCTTGCTCGATCTGCGTTAAGTTTAGCACGCAGGGCTTCATCTTTCACAGAATATTTCAAATTATTATTTATATTCAAAATATATATTTATCCAAGTCGCTGGTTGGCTAAAGTGAGCGGCACGTGAATAGCAGCAACATCCATAACGAGAGGTACACTGAATCAAGTGTGCCGGCTGCATTCACATTCCCCGGGTCACCGGCTCAGACTCCAGGTTGCGTGTGTCCTCGTGTTGTGTGTTCTCCCTCTGGTGTGCCTATGTCTGTGTGCCTCTGCTGTGTTTGTCAGGCTCTTCGTCTGCACTCTGTGTACACCCATTGATACCGGTCTCATTCTGTGCTCTCTATTCTTGTCGTAGTATCTGCATCACTGGCAGCATCGCTGCACGGTTGGCATACGCCCTTGGTGCAGAGAATTAAATGGTTTGGGAGACGGTGGGGGTGGTGGTGGTGTTGTCCATCACCCCCCACCGTTCGTACCCCAGTGGCACCGCCTGCACACTTGACTTCTATGCCACTGACCGCTAGTTTCATATCTTGTGTAGTTCAGTGAAGCCTGGTTGTCACTGCTCACGATATGTTCTCGCTGATCGGACAAAACTTCGGTTTTGTTTTGGACATTTGATTCGTGATCAGAGGGAGTTTATTTTAGTACTACACCAGGGAATATCATTACTTTGGTGATTTGTCTCAACAAGAATGCAACTTCATACGATATTCACTGCTGGCGGGGGTGTTTGTTTTGGTCTAAAGAATAAAATTAGGGTTTGGCTTGGAGTTGGGTCAGGGTCGATGAGAGGCTTCATTATAAAAGCCCCATCCACATCCCTGGAGCCCAGGGCCTCCCACTCCACCCTCTCTATCACCCACGGCTCCTGATGGACCGGCATGTCTCCCCTTAGCCACACTCCTGGCATTGGAGATGCCGATGCCTCGGCCGCCAGCTTCGCTCGTGTCGTGCCCAGAGATGTTGGGGGTCGTTGGGTAGAAATTGAGGCTCAATTTTAGCATCGTGTCCCACAGGAGCTCGACACGTGGGGTGGCTGATGTCAACGTGTCCTCTTGTAGGTCGCCTTGGTGTAGAATTGCCATCACAGAGGCTTCTGGTCTAAGCAGGGCAGGGTTTCCGTCCTAGCGTGATCCGTATGGGTCCTCACACGTGGCCCACGAGGACATAAAAGAGTTGATTTATCTTCTTGGTTCTTTCGGTAAAGTCACATAGAATGGAAATAATAAAATAATAAAACATAAAATAATTCTCACGACGTTTCGGCCACAACGCAAGTAGCCGTCCTCAGGTGAAGACCAGGTCTGTCGGGGAGACAGAGGACAGCTGCTTGCGTTGTGGCCGAAACGTCAGAATTATTTTATGTTTTATTATTTTATTACTTCCCTTCTACGTGACTTTACCGAAAGAACCAAGAGGATGAATCCCTGCAGTCACGAAAGATTTAAATCGAGAGTTGATTTATGTTCACATCCACCAAGTCCACGAGCTGGAGATCGCCCGGACGTCTCGGGTCTGCAGTGTTCGAGGCTTCTTGAATGGTGGGTGACGTCTCACCCATGCGATGTGGCAGGGTGAGGAGAGGCCTGCTCGTCCCCGACACTCAAGGTGAGGTACTCCTCACCTGCCCACCGTACTCACCCTGGCATTAGTCGCAGGCTAATGCTCCCCTGACAGCCTGGGCGATTCCTTCTCCTAGCAGTGGATACATCACGGCCGCTGATGCCTCTAATTGTTAGTTCTCAATGTCACGTGTTTGTTCTCATGCCACGTGTTCTCTATGCCACGTGTTTCTTCTCTGGGCCGCGTGTGCCTCTTATTGGCGATTTCTTCACCCAGCAGTGGATACATCACGGCCGCTGATGCCTCTAAATGTCAGCACACGACTGTGTGCGAACCCAGCGCTGTCTGCGAGCACCTATTTAGGCCAGCTTGCCACCCACGTGCACTCCCAGGCCGCCTTTGTCTCACCAGGGGCATTCACGTTCATTCACAAAACCACCGCAGGCAACGGGCACATTCAACCAGGTGGTCAACACGGCCCATCATCATCATCTCGGTAGGGGCGATAAAGATGATCACCACAGGTGGCCGAGTCGCACTTGCACCACGACCACTCTGTACAAGGTCACCTGAGAATCGAATCCACGAATCGGATAAATCGATTCGCGCACACGAACCGATTCGATTCCACTACAGTACCGTACAGTCTCTCTTTCGTCATCAGGCCCCCCCCCTCCTGCCAAGCCCCCTGCGGTGACGTCACTGTCCCCTCCTGCCAAGCCCCCCGCGATGACGTCACTTCCTCCTGCAAGCCCCCCGCGGTGACGTCACTGCCCCTTTTGCCAAGCCCCCCGCGGTGACGTCACTGCCCCCTCCTGCCAAGCCCCCCGCGGTGACGTCACTTCCTCCTGCAAGCCCCCCGCGGTGACGTCACTTCCTCCTGCAAGCCCCCGCGATGACGTCACTGCCCCTCCTGCCAAGCCCCCCGCGATGACGTCACTTCCTCCTGCAAGCCCCCTGCGGTGACGTCACTGCCCCCTCCTGCCAAGCCCCCCGCGGCGACGTCACTTCCTCCTGCAAGCCCCCCGCGGTGACGTCACTGCCCCTTATGCCAAGCCCCCCGCGGTGACGTCACTGCCCCTCTCCTGCCAAGACCCCGCGGTGACGTCACTTCCTCCTGCCCAGCCCCTCCCCCGTGGTTACGTAACGCGTGGGGTGTCTATTAATCTCGCCGCGGTGCCTGATTCAATCACACGGCAGTCTGAGATCGATCGGTGACTGCGGCCCACAGGGAGTGCGCGAGTTTGTGTCTCTTCATTTTCCTCTCTCTCTCCTTGTCTCTAATATCCATTTCGAGAGTCATGTCCATGCTGGTGGTCGCGCGTGGCGGTTCTATTCTGGTCCGGAACGGGTAAGTGGTTGATGAGTGTGTGAGGCTCAGAGCCAGACCAGGGCTTGTCTTAAGATTGTGTCAATGGTAGAGGCTCAAAGCCACTAAGATTGTGTTCATGGTAGAGGCTCAGAGCCCCTAAGTTTGTGTTCATGGCAGAGACTCATAGACCCACTAAGATTGTGTTCATGTCAGAGGCTCAGAGCCACTAAGATTGTGTTCATGTCAGAGGCTTATAGATCCCCACTAAGATTGTGTTCATGTCAGAGGCTCAGAGAGCCACTAAGATTGTGTTCATGTCAGAGACTCATAGAGCCACTAAGATTGTGTTCATGTCAGAGGCTCATAGAGCCACTAAGATTGTGTTCATGTCAGAGGCTTATAGAGCCCCACTAAGATTGTGTTCATGTCAGAGACTCATATAGCCACTAAGATTGTGTTCATGTCAGAGGCTCATAGAGCCACTAAGATTGTGTTCATGTCAGAGGCTTATAGAGCCCCACTAAGATTGTGTTCATGTCAGAGGCTCAGAGCCACTAAGATTGTGTTCATGTCAGAGGCTCATAGAGCCACTAAGATTGTGCTCATGGCAGAGGCTCAGAGCCACTAAGATTGTGTTCATGGCAGAGGCTCATAGAGCCACTAAGATTGTGTTCATGTCAGAGGCTCAAAGAGCCACTAAGATTGTGTTCATGTCAGAGGCTCATAGAGCCACTAAGATTGTGTTCATGTCAGAGGCTCATAGAGCCACTAAGATTGTGTCCATGTCAGAGGCTCATAGAGCCACTAAGATTGTGTTCATGGCAGAGGCTCATAGAGCCACTAAGATTGTGTTCATGTCAGAGGCTCATAGAGTCACTAAGATTGTGTTCATGTCAGAGGCTCATAGAGTCACTAAGATTGTGTTCATGTCAGAGGCTCATAGAGCCACTAAGATTGTGTTCATGTCAGAGGCTCATAGAGCCACTAAGATTGTGTCCATGTCAGAGGCTCATAGAGCCACTAAGATTGTGTTCATGTCAGAGGCTCATAGAGTCACTAAGATTGTGTTCATGTCAGAGGCTCATAGAGCCACTAAGATTGTGTTCATGTCAGAGGCTCATAGAGTCACTAAGATTGTGTTCATGGCAGAGGCTCATAGAGCCACTAAGATTGTGTTCATGTCAGAGGCTCATAGAGCCACTAAGATTGTGTTTATGCCAGAGGCTCATAGAGCCACTAAGATTGTGTTCATGTCAGAGGCTCATAGAGCCACTAAGATTGTGTCCATGTCAGAGGCTCATAGAGCCACTAAGATTGTGTTCATGTCAGAGGCTCATAGAACCACTAAGATTGTGTTCATGTCAGAGGCTCATAGAGCCCCACTAAGATTGTGTTCATGTCAGAGGCTCATAGAGCCACTAAGATTGTGTCCATGTCAGAGGCTCATAGAGCCACTAAGATTGTGTTCATGTCAGAGGCTCATAGAGCCACTAAGATTGTGTTCATGGCAGAGGCTCCTAGAGCCACTAAGATTGTGTTCATGTCAGAGGCTCATAGAGCCACTAAGATTGTGTTCATGGCAGAGGCTCATAGAGCCACTAAGATTGTGTTCATGGCAGAGGCTCATAGAGCCACTAAGATTGTGTTCATGGTAGAGACTCATAGAGCCACTAAGATTGTGTTCATGTCAGAGACTCATAGAACCACTAAGATTGTGTTCATGTCAGAGGCTCATAGAGCCACTAAGATTGTGTTCATGTCAGAGGCTCAGAGCCACTAAGATTGTGTTCATGTCAGAGGCTCATAGAGCCCCACTAAGATTGTGTCTATAGCAAAGACTCATAGAGCCACTAAGATTGTGTTCATGTCAGAAGCTCATAGAGCCACTAAGATTGTCTTCATGTCAGAGGCTCATAGAGCCACTAAGATTGTGTTCATGGCAGAGACTCATAGAGCCAGACCAGGGCTTGTCTTAAGATTGTGTTTGTCTGTTTGTGAAGGGATCTGTATTCGTAGGACAACCGAATAGAGAGTCTGACTGTGTTCGGGTTAATCATCATCATGTAGTGATTAAATTGGTGACTGATGTAAGGAGGTCGTCCGCCTGAAACACCGGAAACTGACGAGTGAATGGAGCAAAATGTTTAAACAAGTGGGCCAAGAGGAGGTTCGTTCGTGCCTGGAATTACTCAACTAAACTACAAACAATTTTATCTTTTTTACCAGGTAGGGCCCACTCTTTAGCTTTTTTTGTTCAGACAAGTCCTGGCCACAAATGATAGCTCAACGAAGTGGCTTATTTGGACGTTTAGAGCAGCCAGATACTCTAAACGCGTGATGTTGATTTTAAATGTGCAAGGAAAAAACCAGGAGGACCCGGAGAAAAATCCACGCGACCACGGGGAGAGAAAGAGACACGCCAACTCCAAATATACAGCAGCAGGCGTCAGGGTCGGAATTGAACCCACGCGCTCCTGCATACCAGGCGAGGTAGTTAAAATCTCCTAGCCACCGTGGCACCACCGTGGCGAGATGGGAAGTGGACGCTGAGAGATCTGAAAGGGGAAGACGCGGCTTCGACAAGATACGCAAGTCTCCTGGACACCACCGTCGTTTTGAATGAGAGCACGGAAGTGGGGTTTGGGCAGGGACTCGCCATGGCTAGGACGGGTTGAGGAGCGATGGGGGAAACATGGTCGAGGCTAACGACGGAGTGGCAGCCAAAGTAGGGAGAGAGAAAAAAACCACGTGCCCGAGATGGAACGGCCGCCGCTGAGATGGAGCGACGAAATCGGCTCTCTGTGCGGGAGCGAGATGGACTGTGTTGCATCTATCGCGAGAGCGCGGGAGATGGCGACGAATTCTGGGAGTTCTTCATACGACAGTGGAATGGGCATAGCTTGTGGATGTTGAGTCCAGGCGTCTTGTTCGGTTGTTGCTATTGTTGCAGCCACCTTCAACAATTGTTGCTGTGGCTTGTGCTGTCAACTCTGCTGCCGTGTTGTTGTTACAACTGTCGATGCGGTTCCTGTTGTAGCGGGTGTGTGTCGTCACGGTGTTTGTTCGTTGTGTCGCCTCGGTTGTTTATCCTGCTGCTGCACGGTAGCAGGTAGTACAGCAAGTAGGGTGGTGAGTGACACGCGGGTGGTTGTGTGTGCACAGGGTGCCGCTGGCCAGGGTCAAGTATGGGGTGAGCAGAGCAGCGAGCGGTGTCACGGAGGTAAGACATTGTCAACACCGATCTCATCATCATCATCATCGACATCATCACCGACAACAGCAGCAGCATCATCATCAACATCACTTGGATAGACAACATCACCAAGGCCATCAAACAACATCACCAATACCATCAAACAATATCACCAATACCATCAAACAATATCACCAATACCATCAAACAACATCACCAATACCATCAAACAATATCACCAATATCATCAAACAAAATCACCATCAACCATCAAACAATATCACCATCAACCATCAATAAATATCAACATCAACAGCACCGGCTATAAAGTGGTGGTGACGTCATCACAGCATCCGTGCCAGGCCAGGTGCACTTTTGAGGCCACATGGAGTGTCGGAAACTCGCTGAACAGGAGGTCAGGGGACAGACCAAGGTACCGTGGGTTGGCTGAGATGATTGGCAGATGCACCAGCTATACCCTCTACTGTGCCAACCTGCTCTACTTTATCTGCCGGGCGCTCCGCTCGTTGTTGTGAGCGCCGCTCCTCTGCCCTCCGTTGTCGTTGGAGGGCGAATGCCTCCAACTGCCCAGGAGCGTCCTTCACGAGCCTCTCCTCCATTACCAGCATCACCACCGTCTTCGTAAACATCACCATCATCACTCCGTCGTCTTTCATTCTAATTATTACCATCAGCATCATCATCAACATGGCCAACACCATCACTTACCATCAACCATTTAAAAACACGGCCTCACCCATCAACACCATATTCACCACCATATTCACCATTGCCATCTGAAACTTCGCCACGATTATCTGCAACATCCCCATCACTGTGTGTGGTCAGAGGTCACAAACAGTTGTTGCTGGTTCTGCGTGGTTTTTTAAACTCGCAAAGGCCATCATCCCGGTTTACGTGTTTTTTTTTTACAAATTCCTCTTTTCAAACAACGGAACTACAGCAACAACTTGAACAACAACTTTAATCAATGATTTTTTTAACTTGTGATCTAAAAAAATCCACATTAAGGTGCAAATATTGTATTTGCTTCACCAACATATTTTCAACAATACGTAGTGATTCTTTTTTTGTACATGTTTAGGAAGTATTTAAATGTGAACGGGCATTGGCGTGGACGCCCCAAGGCGCTGTAACGCGGGGTCCTTTGGCTCCACGCCTTGACATTTGTCCCAGATTCCACAGCCTGTGCCTGTGGGTCACGTGGCGACCTTGCGAGTGCGAATTATAAATACACAGGGAGACGGAACACACGCGCCTGTGGGTGTGCCACCTACGCACACACACAGACACGTGTGTGGGTGTGTGTGTGTGCGACCTACACACAGACACGTGTGTGTGTGTGCGACCTACACACAGACACGTGTGTGTGTGTGCAACCTTAACACACGTGTGTGTGGGTGTGTGCAACCTACACACACACACACACAGACACGTGTGTGTGTGGGTGTGTGTGGGTGTGTGCAACCTACGCACACACACAGACACGTGTGTGGGTGCAACCCACACACACAGACACGTGTGTGTGTGCGACCTACGCACACACACAGACACGTGTGTGGGTGTGTGTGTGTGCGACCTACACACAGACACGTGTGTGTGTGTGCGACCTACACACAGACACGTGTGTGTGTGTGCAACCTTAACACACGTGTGTGTGGGTGTGTGCAACCTACACACACACACAGACACGTGTGTGTGTGGGTGTGTGTGGGTGTGTGCAACCTACGCACACACACAGACACGTGTGTGGGTGCAACCCACACACACAGACACGTGTGTGTGTGCGACCTACGCACACACACAGACACGTGTGTGGGTGCAACCCACACACACAGACACGTGTGTGTGTGTGTGGGTGCAACCCACACACACAGACACGTGTGTGTGTGTGCGACCTACGCACACACACAGACAGGTGTGTGTGTGCAACCCACACACACAGACACGTGTGTGTGTGCGACCTACACACACACAGACACGTGTGTTTGGGTGTGCAACCTACGCACACACACACAGACACGTGTCTGTGTGTGTGTGCGACCTACACACACACAGACACGTGTGTGGGTGTGCGACCTACACACAGACACGTGTCTGTGTGTGTGCCACCTACACACACACAGACGCACGTAAGGAGCGGTGATGTAGCGGTTCGCGCGCTGTGCTACGAGCCCGGCGACCCGAGTTTGATTCCTGCTCACAGCTTCCAACACTTGCGATAGATTATCTGAACCAGCCATGGGCCTAGGTCCTCAAATGAGTACTCTAATGAGCCTAGGTACTCAAACAATGTATAAACATCGCCAATAAGGAGATGTGTAGCTTGGGACTGGTGCTGGCCATCCACCCCTCGTGTGCCGTGCCGGCTTCTGCATACACACACACCCACTCATTTGTAGGGATCGAGCCCAACGAAAGTTCGATTCTTGACCGCAGCTAACATCAGTGGCGAATAATACCCGACTCTGTCCTGGTCCTCCCCTCTAGGGCGACTCATCCTGCCATAAATGACTGGCAGTGTGTGTGCAAATGTCAGAAGTGGGGAGACAAAGGCGGCCAGGCTTTCGCGGTGATTTTATCGGTGCACAGCACTTGCGGCAGCCGTCTGTAGATCTCTCTACATGGCGTCTTTGTGTGTACCCACCCATAGAATTTGAATGGACCGAGCTGTTGAGAGAAACCTTTGAACGCTAGCTTGTTTGCCCATCCTAGGACGGAAGCTGTAATATTTGCGAAAAATTGAGCAGAGTACAATTGATAATTGGTTCTTTACCCTTCTATCTGGCAACAAAACTGACACCTTTTTGCAAGGAGTCATGTTTGCATAGACCGCAATACCTGCAGTCATAAATACAAACAAAAGACATAACTCTGATAATGTGCACTGTCCTTGAAGTTGATTGGTCCACACCCGAGACAGCTTTCCTTCGAGCCTAGTCTCATATGGGTTGGACCAGATGACGCCAACCCACACCCACGTCATCTGGTCCAACCCATATGAGACTAGGCTCGAAGGAAAGCTGTCTCGGGTGTGGACCAATCAACTTCAAGGACAGTGCACATTATCAGAGTTATGTCTTTTGTTTGTATTTATGACTGCAGGTATTGCGGTCTATGCAAACATGACTCCTTGCAAAAAGGTGTCAGTTTTGTTGCCAGATAGAAGGGTAAAGAACCAATTATCATATTTTTACTGGCAAATGAGGTCCCCATAGTGCAGAGTACAATTGTATCTTGTGTCAATTTCATGGCAGTGAATCTTGCACGAAAGTGCGTCATCAAACACTTCACTGCAGCTCGCTGTAGCACTATTAATGGCAGTGAATCTGGCACAAAACGAAGTCATAAAACACCTCACTTCATGTCACTGTAGCACTGTATATAACTGACCTTTAATTTGTTCTAATTCACTGCTCTGATACTTTATTCTCTTCTGCTTTCGGTCGCTGGCGTTGAAATAATTTGGAATTCGATGCAATATCTGGAAAATCACCGAGAAATGTCTATTTTACCATAATGTAGAAGCATAAATTTGACTTACCTTTTGTCTCAAGTGCTGAAGAAATAAATAAAGACACCAAATCCACTTTGTTGCTGCGTAGAATGATTTATTAGATTCACTTTCTATAAAGAAACGTCAAACTTAAAGCGAATTTGCGAAAAAAATATTTCCGCTCGAACTTCTGCGCGAGTGTCAAAATCCACCCGCTCATGAATATTCATGAGGGGGGGGGGCATGTGGAGTGACGTCACGCGCGTTACACACAGACATTCTTGGCTCATTATAGTAGTTCATTTCAAGTTCATTTATTAGGTGTAGCCCTGTGAGCCATTCGGCTCTTGAATCGGGTGCAACCGCAACAAACAAAAAACAAAAACATGAACAAAAAAACATCTTAAAGTGAATATGTGACTGAGTGCAAACAGAAAATCTAAGAAAAGACAGCAAAATATTGCAGAAAAAAACACCGTACACCAACGCTGTGTGCAAAAATCCCAGTGGGATGCAAGTCAAACAACCAACAACAACCACAAGACAACTTAGATTAAGGCCATCAGTCTAACTCTGTACTACAACAAACAAACATGGCTAAACTAATACACTTTTAGAAATCACCAAAATAAAGCCACGAAACCAATGAAACAGTGATCATAGGAACTGTGTAGTAATAATGGTCTTCATAGGAGATCACTAACAGTACGTGCCCCGACTGTTGCGATGGATACACGGGGATCGCCGTGCGTGTGTTTAGGTCGTGAGTCATTACTCGTGTTCCCGAGAACCAGGTTGTGACTTTGTTAATGCTGCTGCTGTTTTGTTGTTGTTTGTTGTTATTTGTTATTGTTGTGTGTGGGCCACAGGCAGTCTTGGAAAAACCTCATGCCACCAGCAAAACCGCGACTCACGCAGCCACTGCTGAAACGACTGCAGTTACTGTAAGTCGGGGTTTGTGTGTGGTGCATGTAATGGTGGGGTGTGTGGTTATGTGGCTTGTGTGTGGGGCATGTAATGGTGTGGTGTGTGGTTATGTGGTGTGTGTGGTTGTGAGGTGTGTGTATTAATGGTGCCGTGTGTGGTAGTATTGTGTATTGGTGGGGTGTGCGGTTGTGTGTAGTTTATGTAAACAAAGATCATTCTTGTGCGGTAGTGTAGTGGTTAGCATACTGCACTAGGAACTCGGCCACACGAGTTCGATTCCTGCTCACGACCAACATCAGTGAGGATTACCTGAACCAATCTTGGGCCTTCCTTAGGTCGACTCGGCCTCAAATGAGTACCTCGTGTGATTTGTACACATCGCAACGGGGCTTGGTGCTGGCCACCAACCCACTCGCGGGCTGTGTTGGCCTTCATAGGTGCTCGCTAACAGGACTTGCCCCAACAGTTTGTTACCGCTTTATGGGGGAGCTTTGTCTTTGGTGTCTGTAATGATGTGATTGTGTGGATAGTGGTGGAACTTTGGATTGCAAGCTCCACTATCAGCCTGTATACCTGGGTTCGGTTCCCAACTGTGCACAGAATCAGTGGGAACTTTTACCCAAACCTGCCCTCGTCTTCCCCTAGATCGACACAGCCTTAAAAAAGTACCCGATGCAGTTGCAGTTTTGTTGGTAGCATAAGGTTTGTCTAAAAACAGACGTTTAGAGTGTTTGGCTACTATAGATTTCCACGTGATAAGCCGCTTCGTTGATCTATCATTTGTGGCCTGGTTGCTTCTGAAAAAATCTATATAGCTCAGTGGACTTTACCTGGTAATATAAAAAGTTTAGTTCATATATAATAAAAAAAATAGTTGTGCCAGCACATTAATACAGTTTAAAACAAATTGTGCCAGAACTAAATATAGTGCTGATGATGAGACAAAGCCAGCCAGGCGTGGTGCTGGTCACACCACTCGCGTGCCGTGCTCACTAATGGTACTTATCGATCATCAGTGATTCTTTATCACTCTGGGCGGCCTCAAAGTGCACTTAGCCTGATGCGGGCACCCTGGTTACTCAGATGCTGGTGGTTGTCATGCCAGAGGCATGTTAACTACCTCGCCTGGTGTACAGGAGGTCGTGGGTTCATTCCCAACCCTCACGCCTGCTGCTGTATATTTGCAGTTTGCGTGTCTCTCTCTCCCCGTGGTCACGCTTATTTTTCTCTGGTTCCCTACAGTTTTTCCTTAACATTTAAAAACGTGCGTTTCGAGTATTTGGCTGTTATAAATTTCCGCGTGATAAGCCACTTTGAGCTATCATTTGTGGCCAGGTCCTTTCTGAAAAGTAGCTATGTAGCGCAGTGCACCTTACCTGGTGACATAAAATGAGTAGTTCTCGGAGTAGCACTTGACCTCCATTAACCTCTAACCCCCTCCCATCCCCACCCAGAGTTCCAAGTCGTTTGCTGCGTCCATTTTCAAGGGGGAGCTGTCGATGCATCAGGTCTTGCCCTACCCGAACGGTAAGCCTCGCCTCGTTTTTACCATTTCGTTTGCTCCGTGTCTCACACGTGTAGTGACTAACTCGGACTAACTCGGAGACGGCAACACTTGGAGGCACTTCTTTCTTTAGCAAGCACCGTCTATTGTCGGCGGCACCACTTGGTTAGAACATACTCTTAGTTCTTTCGGTAAAGTCACGTAGGAAAAAAATTTAATTAAAATTAATAAAAAATAAAAACAATAAAATCACGACTTTTCGAAGGCAACACGGAAGCTTGTGTTGCCTCCCAAACGTCGTGATTTTATTGTTTTTTTAAATTAATTTTAATTTCATTTTGTACCTACGTGACTTTACCGAAAGAACTAAGAGTATGAATCCTTGCAGTCACGAAAGCTTCAAATCTAGAATTGGTTAGAACAGTTGGCAGGCTGTCTGACTAGCGGCGCCCCGGGGTGGTGGAGACGGAGCCGACGATGAGAAGGACGGTGACGACGAGAAGGACGGTGACGACGAGGAGATGGTGACAACGTGGGACTTGAGCAGCACGACGGGCATCCCACTTCCAGCAACAGCCCCGAGGTCACCCACAGGGGGCCCCTCTTAGGGGGGCGTGGCCTCGCTCCGTCCTGGCCACGCCCCCTTTCTGGAACCTACTGACGGGTTGCCGAGGCTTCTCGATGGGCCACCTCTGTGACCTTTCCCCTTTAGATGTCCCCCTCTCGTGTCTATCGTAGCTGCTGCTGTAGTAATGGTAGTGTTGCTGTAGTTGTGGTTGCTGTAGTTGCTGCTGTAGTTGCTGCTGTAGTTGTGGTTGCTGTAGTTGCTGCTGTAGTTGTTGCTGTAGTTGTTTGCTGTAGTTGTGGTTGCTGTAGTTGCTGCTGTAGTTGCTGCTGTAGTTGTGGTTGCTGTAGTTGCTGCTGTAGTTGTTGCTGTAGTTGTTGCTGTAGTTGTTGCTGTAGTTGTTGCTGTAGTTGCTGCTGTAGTTGTGGTTGCTGTAGTTGCTGCTGTAGTTGTTGCTGTAGTTGTTGCTGTAGTTGTTGCTGTAGTTGTTGCTGTAGTTGCTGCTGTAGTTGCTGCTGTAGTTGTTGCTGTTGTTGTTGCTCTAGTTGCTGCTGATGCCGTTCCCGGTTTGCTGTGATCAGCCGCTAAGAAATCTCCGTGCCGGTCTTTCAGTGAGGCCAGACGATAGAGTACATCGAGTACATTGAAACCTCTTGGCGCAACATCACAATTCACAATTCCTCTTTCAACAATCCGATCCGAACACATGATACGATGCAATTGCAGACTGGTCAATAAAATAAAAACGGGCAAAAAACACAACAGAGAGATAACAGAGGGCCAACTATATGTACGAGTTCATATGCCCCTAGAGCACCGAGCACCCAGGAATGCAACACAAAGTGCATTTTGCTCATACTAATCCGATTTGAAATGAGATTTTAACCCAAGAATGCATCACTTAAGGAGATTATCTAAAACCTGTTCATCAGAATTTTTTGAAAGAATGCAAATCAAGATAGAATGTAATTATCATCGGGCCCCAATGGTGTAGAAAGTGCTGTCCCCAACTCTTATCCACTCCGACTCCCTCCGTGGGCCGTGCAAACGGGCCAGTGTACGGAACGTCGCCTATTATATACTACTTAGTTTCTAGGCCACAGTTGTTGTGGTTATTATCGTGCGTATAGTTGTGGCTATTCGTGTGGGTGTACTCACCGTAAAATAGGCGACATTTCCTTCGCAGGGGATGTTAAATATCCCGTGACGTCATTCAAAGCGAGTAGGCCATTGTGTGCCGGCTGTCGCTTTCCACATTTGGCAAATAAATAAAAGGCCCTGCAAACGACTCCATTCAGATCACTCTGAGGAGCAACGTCTCCCCCCGCCCCCCCGTACTGTGAAACTGCTGCAGACTGTCTATGAAACAGAGCAGCACCTTCCCGCACTATATCCTTGAGCTGTTAAGAATGGCGCAGACACCAAATGTTACTAAATCACTGTCCTTAATCTACCGTAATCATCCTGAGCCTGATCGCTGCCGTCATCCGTCTGGTCAAGGCAGCGTGCGCGACGATGATGGACGGTGACGACGTTAACGGCGCGTGTCCATGTTCATTTGGCAGCTCTGAACGAGGAGCAGAGCCAGTTCCTGCAGGAGCTGGTCGATCCAGTTTCAAAGTTTTTTGAGGTGAGTGGAGTCGGCCCTGGAAGAGAGATGCACCAACTCGGACCAGAGAAACGATTCTCTGAGGAGTCTAAACTGAACTATAAACTTTATTCTTTCGGTAAAGTCACGTAGAAGGGAAATAATAAAATAATAAAAATATAAAACAATAAACATTTTATTATTTCCCTTCTACGTGACTTTACCGAAAGAACCAAAAATATTAATCTCTGCAGTCACGAAAGCTTTAAATCTAAATTAAACTATAAACTATTTTAATTTTACTAGGTAAGAAGCGACCTGGCCATGAATGTTAGATCAACGAAGTGGCTTATGTGGAGATTTATAGCAGCCAAATACTCCAAACGCATGTTGATTCTAAATGTGGAGGGAAAAACCGGAAGACCCGGAGTAAAATCCACGCGACTACGGGGATAACACTTGAACTCCAAATATACAGCAGCATGCGTCAGGGTCGGGATCGAACCCACGACCTCCTGTACACCAGGCGAGGTAGTTAACATCTCCTAGCCACCGTGCTGATGATGAGAGAGAGCGACCCGCAAACTCCAAATCTACAGCAGTAGCAGGCGTCAGGGTTGGGATCGATCCTACTACCTCCTGTACACCAGGCGAGGTAGTTAACATCTCCTAGCCACCTTGATGATGATGAGAGAGAGAGAGACACGCAAACTCCAAATCTACAGCAGTAGCAGGCGTCAGGGTCGGGATCGAACCCACGACCTCCTGTACACCAGGCGAGGTAGTTAACATCTCCTAGCCACCGTGGCGACATTCATGAGCGCAGCAGCGGAGCCACCCGCCACTGCTAACTCCAGCAGCGGCCCCTTGTCATCAAGAGCAGCAGGTCAACGACCTCGTGGCAATGAGCACAGCCGATTACAGACTGCACCGCCAACTGATGACCGCGTGTGAACGGGCGCAGGAGGTTAACAACCCAGCCGCCAATGACACCCTGGAGAAGGTGGAGGACGCGACGATGCAGGGGCTCAAGGAGATGGGGGCCTTCGGGCTTCAGGTGCCCACAGAGCTCGGAGGCCTGGGCCTGACGAACACGCAGGTGAGGACTACAAGCTCGGACACAAACACTCACGCGTGTGCGCACACGCAAACATTTACGTCGTAACACAGATGTAGACACACGACACCAAAACAACACAAGTGCGTCTGCAGTCTTGTACGTTTGCCTGTGCATTTGTGAGTGCGTGTCCGTGAGTGTGTCTATCCATGTATGTTACGTTGTGGAGCAGTAGTGTCGCGGTTAGCGCGCGCTGCGCTATGAAACTGGCGACCCGAGTTCGATTACCACTCACGGCCAACACCGGTGACGATTATCTGAATGGGTCATGGGTCTCCCCTAGGTCGACTCGGCCTCAAATGAGTGCCTGGTGCAGGTGTGCAAACATCGCCACTGGGGAGACAAAGGCGACTGGGCATTGGCCACCCACTCCCTCGTGTGCCGTGCCGGCCTTCATAAGTGCCGCTCGCCAACAGAACTTGCCCCACAAGTCTGCACGGGCTATATGGGGATATCTTTGCCTTTTATCTTTGTTACGTTTACATGCACCTACCTGTGTGTGGAGATACACACAGCCCGACTCGTGCGCCGTGTTCTCCCGGCCTGCGTCGGTGCCCGGTAAAAGCAGCAGCACTTGCCCCTCTCCCTACGGTCTGCTAAAGGCTGCACGGGGCGACCTCTTTGTCTCTCGTGCAGTACGCGCGGCTGGTGGACATCGTGGGTCGCCACGACCTGGGCGTGGGCATCACGCTCGGCGCCCACCAGTCCATCGGCTTCAAGGGCATCCTGCTCTTCGGCAACCCCGAGCAGAAGAAGAAATACCTCCCCAAGCTCGCCTCGGGTAAGCTGTGGGCTCTTCCCACGGTGGCTAGGAGATGTTAACTACCTCGCCTCGCATACAGGAGGAGGTTCGGTCCAGACCCTGACACCGGCTGTATAGAGTAAAACCTTGGATTGCGAGTAGCTTGGTTTGCGAGTGTTTTGCAAGACGAGCAAAAATTTTAAATAGATATTAATTTGATAAACGAGCGAGGTCTTGCAATACGAGTAGTACGTACAGTATACGCTTTGTCTGCCGAGCGTCACGTGATCACAACTGATATACGAGTGCTTTGATATACGAGTGCTTTGGATTACAAACACGTTTCTAGAACGAATTATGCTCGCAATCCAAGGTTTTACTGTACTTGGAGTATGCGTGTCGCTCTCTGTTCCCTCCAAATGTATATGTAGCTCAATGGGCCTTACCTGGGAAAATAAAAACTAGTTTTATGTAAAACCGTGCTAATTGCACCTGATTATCACGGTTGGCTACATATTGTGCGAAAGAAGTTCAACACTTCTACACATACCAAAGCCAAAGGTCCCCCATGTAGCCTCAATAGACATTTGGAGCAAGTGCTGTTATTGAGCACCTATGAAGACTCACACCGCACACGAGGAGGTGGGTGTCCAGCCCCACGCCAGCAGCCTTTGTCTCCCTCTTGGCGATGTTTATAAATCGTAGCAGGTACTCATTTTAGGCTTAGTCGACCTAAGGGAGGCTCGGGGCCCGTTCAGATAATCGCCACTGTTTATTGGTCGTGAGCGGGAATGGAACTCGGCTCGCCAGGTTCGTAGCACGGCGTGCTCACGGCTGTACCACCGCTCTCCCATCTCCCGACTGCCCACTCGTGATGGTGGAGGTGTCGGCAGCGATGTTGATGATCGGGATGTTGTATGTGTGTTTTGTTGAACTTCTTTCGCACCGTACGTAGCCAACCGTGCTATTCGGAGGTGTGGGGGAAGGACAAGAAACTAAACGCAAAAAGCAGTTGGAAAGAAATGAGCTTGCAATCTAGATTATTTAAAAGTGTATAGCTTTCTAATACGGCAAAGAAGAGCGGTCCAGACGGCTGCAGAAGGGCATCTGAAAGCGTGCGACGCAGTGACCCATTTTTGTTCGATGGCCCGGCCAAAAGCCGCTGCTGAGAGGATGACGTGTCACGGTTTATGGTCCTTGATGAGATCGGAAAGGTATTGTGGTTCATTTGCGGCAAGCGGTGGTTAATGGTGGCGGTGGCGCTATTGATGAAGACGACGACGATGATGTGGTGATGTTGCTGGTGATGTTAATGGTGAATATTTATGGTGGTGGCGATGAGCAGGAGAGCTCATCGCCTCGTACTGCCTCACGGAGCCGGCCAGCGGCTCGGACGCCGCCTCCATCAAGACGCGTGCCGTGCGCAGTGCGTGCGGGAAGTACTACACGCTCAACGGCAGCAAGATCTGGATCAGGTGAGGACACAGCCGTCCCCCCCCCCCCCCCCAGTCACACTGAACTAAATCTAAACTATTTTAATTTTACTCTACCAGGTAAGGCCCACTGGGCTATACAGTGGTCCCTGGGTTAATGATGTTCATTGTAAACCATCATTAATTGAAATAATCGTAAATTTTATATGGGAAATACGTGTTTTATAAAGTGCTTAATTTGTTCCGAGACGATCAGAAGTCGAGCTTATTCACCCTAACAACAGTTTATAATATGTTGATAAATAAACGTTCTAAGAACATATGAAAACATTAATATTAATAGAAACATGGATAAAAAATGATAAATATAGCATCAAAAGGTGCATAAATAGAGTATAATTTTTTTTTTACCTTAGGCTATCCAGTTCTATTCCTATTGCTCTCAAAATGCTCATAAAAGGGCGTCGCTGATTGGCTGAGGTCTGCTGAGTCCACTTCTGAGCGCTCCGATTGGCCGAAATTGGCAGCCACTTGATATCGTAAACACATCGTTAATCGAAATGTATCGTCAATAGAAACAATGGGACCTTATGGCAGGCGGATGGTTCATCAAAACCTCGTTAATCGATGGCATCGTAAATTGAGGGACCATTATATATACAGTATATAGTTATTTTCAGAAGCGACCTGGACACAAATGATAGCTTGACAAAGTGGCTCATCATGTGGAAATTCATAGCAGGGTCTGGATCGAACCCACGACCTCCTGCGCATCAGGCGATAGAGTTAACATATTGCCACCCCAGTGCCCCTGGGCAGAGACAGATGCGGGGCACATGCCGACGATAACGTCACCGTGTGATTGGTCGAAGCAACGGCGGGATGGCTCTGGTTAGGGTGTCACGTGACGACGATGCTGTCTTGTGATTGGCCGCAGCAATGGTGGAATCGCGGAGATCTTCACGGTGTTCGCGAAGACGCCCGTGCGGAACGATGCGACGGGGGAGACCAAGGACAAGATCACGGCCTTCATTGTCGAGCGGAGCTTTGGCGGCGTGACCAAGTGAGTATGGGGGGGGAAGTGGCGACGAAGTGAGGGGGGTAGATGGTGACGGGGCGGGGTGGGGGGCAAGTTGGTAACGAGGTGAGGCCGACAGCGAGACGAGAGGCGAGGGGCTGATGAGGATGAGAGACGGACGAGGTGAGGCTGTGACGGGAAGCGCTCCGTGACGACAGTTGTCACCCTCGTGTTGCTGTTGTGACCACACAGAGGCCTCGCCAATTGTCTTGACCGCGGTAGGAGAGGGGCGGCTGAGGGAGGTGGTGGCGTTGGTTCCAAACTCGAGTCTAACCTCCCTGTGCCCCCCCCCTCCCCCACTCGTCAGCGGCGCCCCTGAGAAGAAGATGGGCATCAAGGCGTCGAACACGGCCGAGGTTTACTTCGAGGACGTGCGCGTGCCGGCCGAGAACCTCCTGGGAGAGCTGGGCGGCGGCTTCAAAGGTCGGCAACCTCCTCGAGTGAAACACTCGTTTCTTTACAGCTGCCTCGCGTTTTTAGTTTACAGCTGCCTCGCGCGTTTAGTTTCGTTTGTTATCCTTCCCCCCTCCGCCCCGCCCCGCCGCACCGCTCTCGATTCGCGCGTTTGTCTACGTACGGTGCGAAAGAAGTTCAACTTGCCCTACGCACGTGGTCAACGAAGCGCCCGCGAGCGTCTGCCCGGCGCCGGTGTCACCGGCTGACAGCGCCGAACGGGCGCACGGCACACGTGCACACCCCCCCCCTCCTCCCCCCCCCCACGTTGCTTCTCGTTTGTCCCTCTCGTCATCGACATGTGACCACCACCCACTGCTTCATTTCTCTAGAACTGCTTCTTTGTGTGTTTAGTTTGGTGTCCCCCCCCCCCCGTCCCGCACCTCCGGTTAGCACCGTTGGCACCTGCACGTCGACGTGGCGACGACGCACCGCATCTCCTCCTTCATGAATTGTGGAAAGTGAAGCCACAGGGCTGCGATTGTGGCCGAGCAACATAAACTCTGGACCGTAGATTAGCACGGTTGGCTACGTACGGTGCGAAAGAAGTTCAACATACGTACATGCATACATGACCCCTCCTGTCTATCCCTCAGTAGCCCCCCCTCGCCAATTGCTTTGGAATGATTTTGAACTCGTTTTCCAAAAATTGCACCGCAGAATATTCAATTGGGACACTATACATGGCAACTATCGCCCTCCCCCCGCCGGCAGACTTTAGAGTCCCAGCTCACTCTTGCAAATGACAGCGATCCTGGTCTCTTTGAGTTCTCATTTGGTTGAACGAATGGGGACTTAAAACAAAGTGTACGCCATTTATTTATGAAGTACCTCTACCCGTCCGTCTTGTCTCGCAGTAACCCCCCGTAAAGAGGAGGATCCGCTTTGGAACTCTCGTGTAAAGTTGCCATTGGGGACATCGCCCTGGAGAAAACCGGCCACGTTCATCAAAGTGTCGTCCAAAACTTTGGGAGACACAAATCGTAGCAACAAAAAAAAAAGATTCGCAAATATGCGAGCGCGTTTTTCTCCGGCAGCTGCCACCTCCGTCAGCTTATGTACTCGCAAGGCGACGGAGATTTGTATCGAGAGCTGAATTTCGTTCCAAAGCTGCGAGAGGAAGCTGCTCTAGATTATAAACTAATTTCTTTAGAACTTCTTTTCATGTTTAGGTTGTTGTCCTTCCCCCTCGCGGCGCTTTTAGATGCGCTTCTGTGGCCGAATTGGAACTCCACTCTTCTGATATTCGAAAACCACTGGAGCTCTGCACTTTTAAGTCCTCTAGATTGACTCTCATTTCTTTAAAACTACTTTTTGCATTTAGTTTGTCATTCCCCCTACACCTCCAATTATAGCACGGTTGGCTGCGTACGGTGCAGAAGAATGTCAACATACATGGCATGCGGTGGGAGTGTTGACATGGAATGCCGTGTGTGCGCATGTTTTGTTATTATTGCAGTTGCCATGAACATCCTGAACAACGGCCGCTTCGGAATGGCGGCCGCACTCAACGGCACCATGAAAGCATCGATTAGCAAGGCGGTGAGTCGCGCTCGCTCACGTGACGGCGGTGGTGGTGGCGGTGACGGTGACGATGATGACGACGATGGTGGTGGTGACGGTGGTGACAGTGGTGATGGTGACGATGGTAACAACGACGGTGGTGGTGGTGACGGTGACGATGATGACGACGATGGTGGTGGTGACGATGAAGGGCACGAGGGATTGGAAGGTCACCACGGTAACAGATTTGAATCTGCCGATGTCGTATCGCCTCTCCTCGCTGGTGCCAGCTCGCCTCTATCGCTCGGTCTTACGCATCCGCACGTACCGTCCGCTTAAACTCTCCTCACCCCGACTCGCCGCCCTCTCTGCTGCCAGGTTGACCCAGCTCACCCACGCTCGCCCTCCCGTTGTCCTCCCTGCCCTCAGGTTGAGCACGCCGCAAACCGGACCCAGTTCGGGAGCAAGATCCACACGTACGGCACGATCCAGGAGAAGATTGCGCGCATGATCATGCTGCAGTACACCACCGAGGTGGGGCCACAGCGTGTGCGTGCGATGGGGAGCGTGCGTGCGTTTGTCTATGATGTGTGTCTGTGTGCTGCAACAGGGTGTGTGAGAGACGGGGGGGGGGTGTCTTGTTCGTGCGATGGGATGTATCTGTGTGAGACAAGGTGTGTGTGTGTGTGATGGGCTGTGTGTGGGGAGTGGTTGTGTGGCGGTTAGCGCGCTGCACTACAAACCTGGCGACCCGGGGATTATCTGAACCGGTCCTGGGCCTCCCCTAGGTTGACTCAAAATTAGTACCTGGTACAATGTGTAAACATCGCTACGAGGGAGACAAAGGCGGCCGGGCGTAGTGCTGTCCCACCCACTCCCTCGTGTCGTGCCAGCCTTTGTAGGTGCTCGCTAACAGCACTTGCCCCAACAGTCTGTTACAGCCTATACGGGGGATCTTTGTCTTGTTTTTGAGGTGTGTGTGCGTGTGTGGGTACCGTTTCGGTCTCGCGTGTAATGCCGCATGGTTCGTGTTACGCACTGTGCGTATCTCGCCGTGTGCTAAGCGCCGTGCTGCATGTGTTGCGCAGGCCATGGCGTACATGATCAGCGCCAACATGGACTCGGGGGCGACCGAGTTCCAGATAGAAGCCGCCATCAGCAAAGTTTTTGCGTCGGTAAGAATTAAAAGTCGTCGTCGTTGTGGTGCTGCTATCGATTTATCGACAACAATCCTGCACGTTTGTCTATACGACGAGAACCAGCGAGGGTGAGCAAGTCCGCAGCAACTTTCAGCGAAAGAAATTCCCCTTCCCGCGGCCCGACCTGGAGAGCGAACAACAACGACAACAACAACAACGACGACGACGTTTTAACGCGTGGTGGGGGGGGGGGGGGGACCAACAGCACAACGAGTCGTAGAGCCGAGAGAGCCGCGCGACAGTTGCGTTGATTTGGACGTGGCAACGAAGGAGAGAGCGCGGATTGCAGGCCGATTTGTATCATTTATACATCGCGAACATGGCCACACTCTAGATCACCTGGCAAAAGCAGCGGTGAATCTGATTGGAGATAAACAGACGTCTCTCGCGGCGAAACGTACAGAGTAAGAGGCGTACAGAGTAAGAGGCGATGTCATTCGTTGATCCAGGAAAGCCTCACCGAGTCTCCTCCCTTTGGAAGGAGGCTCCTGCCAAGGTTGCATGTATGTTGAACTTCTTTCGCGCACCGTATGTAGCAGCCAAGCGTTCTAATCGGAGGTGCGGGGGAAGGACAACAAATTCAACGTAAAAATCAGTTCTCGAGAAATTCGTTTTCAATCCTAGATGATTTAGAAGTGCATCGCTCCAGTGGCTTCCTAATATCAGAAGGAAGAGTTTTCCAGACGGCCGCAGAAGTGCGTCTGAAAATGTGCAAAAATTGCATGCTGTAGGGGGCGACGATTGCTGTGCGATTCCCAATTTAACGAAATTTGTGAGTAATGTTTTCAAATTGGGGCAACTTGGACACGTGACGTGCGCTGATCAAGTGTTGTAGAGTGCCGGGTTGCCCGTGTGCTGGTGTTGTTGCCTCGCTGTGACCACGTTCCCGCGCTGCGTGTGCGATGCGCGTCACAGGAAGCGGCGTGGAAAGTCACGGACGAGTGTATCCAGATCCTGGGCGGCATGGGCTTCATGAAGGTCAGGCCGTCGTTACGGTCGTTACGCCGCTATTCTTGCTCCCGTTTCCATTTGTTTCCTTTGCTGTTCTTTTCTCTCGCCTGGGTTAGCCGTTCGTCATTTCGATCAACCAAAGCCGCCACTCTGGGCAAAATGAGACTCGATCTGTCCTGGTCTCCCGAGTTCTCGCCGGGCTACACAAAACTAAACCCGACTTGATCGTCGCCATTCCCATCGTTATCGTCAATCCCGTTAACGTCGTCGAGATCGATTGGGTAACCGGCCGTGGCTCCGTGACCTCTTCTCGTGAGGCTGGTGGATGTGTCTTTGTGGTGCTCTTCACTGGTGGCCGGCGAGCTGCGTTGCAGCGACTCGTCTCTATGTGTGTCTGTGTTGAACTTCTTGCGTAGCCAGCCCTGCTAATCGAAGGATGCGGGCAAGGAGAACAAACTAAATCGCAAAAAGAATCGTCCATCAGAATCGAATCCCTGCTCCCTTCGTGCACGCACGTTTGTCCCCGTCGGCAGCGTGGGGGCGCCGAGTACGCTTGCAAATGTGATCAAATGGGAGTGCACCTTTAGTGTAAAGTTGTGTTGGCCAAATCCTGGAGACACAATCAGAGCAAAAAGGAGACTATTTGCAAAAATTCAAATGCATTTTGCCTGGAGGAGCCGCACTCACTGCTGAGTCACGGCTCCCGAGTGTGGGCGCGTTGCAGAGCTTCGTGCAGTCAGTGCGCGTGCGTGGATCGTGCGTGGATCGTGCGTGGATCGTGCGTGGATCGTCCCGTCTCATTCCTGTTTCCTCGCCACGCCCTCCCCCCACGCAGGACTGCGGGGTGGAGCGCGTGATGCGCGACCTCCGCATCTTCCGCATCTTCGAGGGCACCAACGACATCCTGCGCCTGTTTGTCGCGCTCACGGGTATCCAGGTGAGCAGTGCTCGCTCGCTCGCTCACTCACTCACTCACTCGCCCGCCCGTTAGACTCAACCCCCTCGCTCGCTCGATCGGCTGCCCGTTCATTTGTTCGATCGCTCGCCCAATAACTCCTCGCTTCCTCACCCAACCTCTTGTCCATTCGCTTGTTCGCCCACTCGCCCACTCAGCCGCTGACTTTTCCACTCACCCACTCACCCACTCGGCGTACGAGGTAATGAATGTGAAATGGCTCTCGTGTGGCTAGTTTTGTTGCGAGGAATTTGTGTTTGTGCTCCTGTGTGGGTGTATGTTGGTGTGTGTGTGTACCTCCTGCCAGCGGGTATTCGACACTTCACACTTCACGTGGCCTCGAGGTGCACCATAGCCTAGCACAAGCGTCGTGGTGACGTCACCGCCACTTAGTGGCGAATGGCGGTTGTTGTTGTTGTGTCTTTCTGTCTGTCGTCACGAGTGTGTCTGTGCACGTGAGTATGTCCAGGTTTCTGGGTGCACGTGTGTGGCGGTGTGTGCATGTATATGTGTTTGTGCAAGTGTGTCTGCCTTTGTCTCCGTGTGTTTGTGTATGTATATAATATAACAATGTATGTGTCCGTATGCGTGTGCATACCTTCTGCTGTGTGTGTATCTCTGTGCACGTGTTCCTGCCTGTAGGGTGCGGGCAAGCATCTGCAGGTGCTGCAGAAAGCGCTGAAGAACCCAATCGGTAATTTCGGAACGATCATGGGAGAAGTCGGCAAGAGGGCACGGAGGTGAACTCGCATGCACAAACATTTACGTATACGCCGACACACGAAGATCCCCTGCATAGCTTAGACAGGCTTGTGGGCAAGTGCTGTTAGCGAGCACCTGTGAAGGCTGGCAAGGCACACGAGGGGGGGCGGGTGGCCAACACCGCCTGGCCGCATTTGACTTTTTTCTGGCGATGTTTACACATCACGCCAGGTACTCATTTTAAGGCTGAGTCGACCTAGGGGAAGCCCAGGACCGGTTTATATAATGGTCACTGGTGTTTGCTGGGTTCGTAGTACAGCGCGTTAACCGCTACACTACCGCTCCCCATACGCAGACATACACACATGCAGAGAGATACACTTGCCCCAACATTGTCTGCATATGTACACACACTTGAAAACGCATACCATGTCCATGCGCACACACGTAGCCCAACAAGGACGCTTCTCATCCACGTGCACAATCGTAGTCGCAGAGAAAGTAGGTTACTTTAGTCCCTGCTGAGCTGTATACTGGGAGATGCTGAACTGCATGCTGGGAGATGCTGAACTGCATGCTGGGATGTGTGCAGGTCTGTTGGACTTGGCAGTGGACTCACCCTCAAGGGCTCCGTGCATCCCAAACTGGAGAGCAGCGGAGAGCTGGTGAGGGGGACGGAAGGAGGGGGGGGGAGTCCGTTTGAACACGTTCACTCCTTTGACTGCCACTCTGTAACTAATCTCTTCCATCACCGCTAGCCGCGACGTGTCCTGCTCAAGCCCACTTAATTTTCAAGGCGATGTCTTTCATCTGCGCCTGCTCTCCGAGCCACCAGTAATTTTCTTCATTGTCTCTGTGTGATGCGTTCGATTTTGACCCACATTTTTGATTCGCGCTCACTTTGAATTTCCACGGACTCTAAGCCAGTTGCTTGCTACGTGTGCGAAATAATAATTTCTGTGTCATATTGTCTCGTTTGCATCGTCCGATGCGTTTGTTCCGCTCGGTCGTACCCTCTTCTTTGCACCGCCCGTCTCGTTTTCGCTTTCATTATCGAGTTTAGTTTGTACCAGCGCGTTTGTTCTGGCTGTGCTTGCTTAATTGCTGGACATCTGTGGGGAAAAAAGTATTCATAGCTCATCATCAAGTAAAGATTTTGATTGTACGTGTATATGTTGAACTTCTTTCACGCCACGTCGCCAACCGTGCTAATCGGAGGTGCGGTGAAAGGACAACAAACTAAACACAAACAGCAGTTCTAAATAAATGTATTCAATCTAGATTTCAATGTGCATAGCTCCAGTGGCTTCCTAATATCGGAAGGACAGCCACAGAAGCGCACCTGAAAGTGCGTTATGCGGTGACCACCGTCTTGTGAGGATGAGCGGAGTTCGTGTGATGATGGTTTATGCTCCTTGACGAGATCAGCGAGGTATTGAGGTTCACTCGTGGCAAACACTTTGTGTGTGATGAGCGCGACCTACTAACGTGTTCGTTCGGCAACCGGACGCCATTTCAGCTCGCCGGGCACTGCACGGATACGGTCGGATCTTGCGGTACCCGTCACGACATTACACGCGGCCGTGATTCTACAACAACGATTCGGACTTGGCTTGAGCCGCCGTAGACAGCGAAGTGACGCGGGTGCCACGCTGTGACACCGCTCTCTCTCAGATCGCCAAGGGCGTGGATCAGTTCGGGGCATCCGTGGAGGGGCTGCTGCTCAAGCATGGCAAGAAGATCGTCGGTGAGTGGAGTGGAGTCGACGGGGTGGGAGGAGGGGGTATCCATCCATGATGCGTGCCAGAATCTGAATGTTTATTTATACTGGGGGAGGAATCCAATGAGCTGTAAAGATCTTTTTCACAGGTGCCCAGTAGGGGCGGGTCAGAACGCTACAACAAAAACACGATAGGAGTGCAAAGTAGAGGAAATGTAAATAGATTGAATTTCTATTTAAAGCTTTCGTGACTACAGGGATTCATCTTATTGGTTCTTTCGGTAAAGCCACGTAGAAGGGAAGTAAGAATTATTTTATTATGTTTTATTTTTATTATTTTATTACTTCCCTTCTATGTGACTTTACCGAAAGAACCAAGAAGGTAAATAGATTGCTTAAAGAAAATCGACAAATAAAACGAATACATTGTTGCCTTACCAGTTAAAGCCCACTGAGCTATTAGATTATTTTTCAGACGCGACCTGGCTATCACAAATGATCGCTCAAAGAAGTGGCGATCAGAGATCCCACGTAGCCTTTCAACAGATTGTCGGGGGCATGTGCTGTAAGCGAGCATCTATGAAGGCGGCCACATGACGTACAACGGGGCTGCTGTGGATAGCACTACGCTCAGCTTACCTTTGTCATGGGTAGTGGTAGCGTCGTAGTTGGCGCACTGCGCTACAAACCCAGAAACCTGAGTTTGATCCCCGATTCACGAGCAACATCGGTGACGAATATCTGCACCAGTCCTGGACCTCCCCTAGGTCCACTCACCCTGTTGCGTGTTTGTAAACATCGGCACTGGGCACTGGGGAGACCAATGCGGCCCGACTTGGTACTGTCCGAGTCGTGGGTCGCCATGAACGTTGGCTATACAGGGGGCTACGTGAGGGTCTTCGTGTGGCCGCGGGTGTGCGTGCGTTGCACATGACAGGCTGCTGTCATGGGTGTGCGTGTGTGTGTGTGTGTGTTGTGGGGAGCGGTAGTGTAGCGGATGGTACGCTGTGCTAAGAACCCGGCGACCCGGGTTTGATTCCCGTTCACGGCCAACACCAGTGATGATTATCTGAACCGGTCCTGGGCCTCCGGTAGGTCGACTCGGCCCCAAATGAGTACCTGGTGTTGCGGTGTGTAAACATCGCCACTGGGGAGACAAAGGCGGCCGGACTTGGTGTTGGCCAGCCACCCCCTTGTGTGCCGTGCCGGCCTGCATCGGTGCTGCTTGCGAACAGTGCTTGCCCTAACAGTCTGTTGAGGCTATCCGGGGGATCTTTGTCTTTGTGTGTGTATTTGGCCTCCCCTCGGTTGACTCGGCCTCAAATGAGTACTTGGTGCCACGTGTAAACATCAGCACTGGGGAGACTAAAGGCATCCAGCCGGGGGTAGAGTTGGCCATGCCGGCTTTCATAGGTGCTCGCTTAACAGCACTTTCCCCAGCAGGCTACGCGGGGGATCTTTGTCTATATTATTATTGTTGTTGTTGTTGTGTGCGTGCACAGATGAGCAGTTCCTGCTGAACAGAGTGGCGGAGGCTGCCATTGACCTGTACGCCATGGTGGCCGTGGTGTCGAGGTGCGTGGGGTCACGGCGCGGGACGCACGCAGGGACACGCAGAGACACGCACGGACAGACGGGGACACGCACGGACAGACGGGGACACGCACTGGGATACGGAGATCAGAGGTTGGGGGGGTTAATGACGACATTAACCCCCCCCCCCTCTGATCTTAACACCTGACAAGCTGACTGTGATGACATTACCTTCTATTTAAGACCGGAAACAGGAAGACCTCTTCACATTTCTGACAAATCGCCTGACGAAGCTGGTTGTCATCGCCAGTGAAACGTCACCGGTACTAACATTGTAAATGTTGTGAATTGTAAATGTTTACTTTCCAACACACGACCGGTGTGCTGAAGTAGTAAGCTAATTGACACGTTTTGTTTACGTGACAAACTTTACTAATTGTCCGTGTCGGGTGGCAGTGGGTTAACGACACATTTACACTTGCGTGATCCAACCCAAAAAACGTTTCCACGAATAATATTTCGATTTAAAGCTTTCGTGACTTCAGGGATTCATATTCTTAGTTATTTCGGTAAAGTCACGTAGAAGGGAAATAATAAAATAATAAAAATCAAACAATAACATTTTCACGAAGTTTCGATTGCAACACAAGCAATCGTCATCAGGTGTGAAAACCACAGCAAGAAAATGTTCTTGCTGTGGATTTCATCATCAGATGACGATTGCTTGTGTTGCTGTCGAAACTTCGTGCGAATTTGTTTTTTAATTTCCCTACGTGACTTTACCGAAAGAACCAAGAATATGAATAATATTGGTCGCGAAAGCCGACGTGTTAAACAGACACAAGGGGGCTTCACATGGACGCGCAAGGATGCACCTGTGGAGATGCCAGTACACATCAGGATGTATCTGGACACACGAGGACACGCACAGAGTCCTACAGGATCGGTAACAGCGCTTGCCCCAACAGTCGTGAGAGGCTACATGGGGGATCTTTGTCTTTGTGTGCGTAGGGCGTCGCGGTCGCTGAGCCAAGGCACCCCCACGGCGGAGCACGAGCGGCTCATCTGCGAGACGTGGTGCCTCGAGGTGACGACCACACCGCCACTGCCACCCTCCATCGCTCACTCACTGCCGTCGCCCTCTCACCCAGCAACTAACGACACCGCAATTGGGTGGAGGGAGCTATGGACGACCCGGCCATGTGTGTGGGGTTTGTTGTTCACCCAACTCCCCCCCCTCCTCCCGTCTCCGCCTCTCCGCTCCCTCCCCCCTTTAGGCGTCGGAGCGAGTTTCCCTGAACCTGCGCTCGCTCACCAACTCGACGGTTCTCCAGACGTTCAAGAACATGCGCGCCATCTCGGTGGCCACGGTGGACAACGATGGCGTGCTCGCCCCCAACCCGCTCGGCTTCTAGGTCCGGGACTCTTGCCGCACGCCCCGTGGCAACGTCGCCCACCCGGCCAGCGCCCGCGTCTCTCTCTCTCTCTCGCTCCACTATGCATTTCTGACATTTGTAGATAGCCCACGCGAGACTCTAAACGCCCCGCTGGGTATTAACGGCGTCCACCATTTCGTAGACCGTATGCCCACCGCCAGCCTATGGTCGAATCGTCGCCGGTAGGCCACGGCCGTCTAGTTTAGAGCATGCTCGCTCCATGTAGGCCACGCTCGCTTGACCGCAAGGCCCTCTCTGGCAATAGTTCACATCCAACCGGTTACGATGGGCACCACGAATGCCACGAGAACCACCGCCAAGTTCTCCTGCCAGCGGGCGTTCGACACTTCACGTGGCCTCAAGGTGCACATGGCCTGGCACAAGCGTCGTGGTGACGTCACCGCCACTTAGTGACGAATGGCGGTTGTTATTGTTGTTGTGTGTGGGGCATAAACCAAAGTGCCCAGAGAAAACCCACTTGGTGCAGGAGAGGGCCGAGGGAATTCTCAGGTCTCTCCGCGCGCGCGCAGCCTTAGCAGTAACCTACTTCTTGTGATGTCTCCCACAAGCGGGAGGCAGTGGGAGGGGAGCGGGTCACGCGCACGTGTGCGTGACATTTCTACACTCTGTTGTAGTACAGTACACTCGTCGAATATCAATTGTATTGATCCGTATTAAAAAAATAGTCTGAATTCACTTAATTTCAATAAAACAAACATACTCGACACTTGTGCCTGTGTGACCTTTCATCGCAAGCCGCCATCAGCTTTCCACTGCTGCATCATCAGGGCCTCACGATGCACCAAAGCCACCCACGAGCGGATTTCGCCACTCCATCTCCACGGTTGGAACGGAAAAATTCATCGGGCAAATTCATTGGACGTGTTCGCGCCTTTGACCGCCGCTGGCCTCCTCCGTGAGTCTTCACCCCAACGCCACCGTTCGTCGCAGCCCGTGACGTGTCCCGGAGCAAGGCCACTTAAGTCTTCTTGGTTCTTTCGGTAAAGTCACGTAGAAGGGAAGTAATAAAATAATAAAAATAAATGAAAATAACAAAATTAAATTATTTAATTACTAATAAAACATAATATTATTATGTTTTATTTTTATTATTTTATTACTTCCCTTCTACGTGACTTTACCGAAAGAACCAAGAAGATGAATCCCTGCAGTCACGAAAGCTTTCAATCGAAAATCTTCACAGTCGTCACAATCTGGTCATCCTCTCAGTAGCTGCAGCAGCAGCCGAAGGCTTTTGGCTCGCCGTCATGAAGAGGGTGGTGGTGGTCACCGCGTCGCGCAGTGCTTTCAGATGCGCTTCTGCGGCCGTCTGGAACGCCGCTCTTCTGATATTAGGAAGCCACTGGAGCGATGCACTTATAAGTCCTCTAGATCGACTCGTTTCTTTAAAACTGCTTGTTGCATTTAGTGTATCCATCCCCGCGCACCTCCAATTACAGCACGGTTGGCTACGTACGGTGCGGAAGAAGTTCAAGGTACATACGTGACGTTTCCAATGTGCACGCTGTCCCCACCCGCGCGTTCCTCTTTGCTGCCCTCGGCATCGTAATTCCTGGCCGGTGTCTCTCGTCCGCGCTCCGCGCTCCGATGCGTTGCCTCTCAGCTCCCCGCGTGCGCCCTCGAGCGCTGCGACGATTGGCGTGACGAGTCAGCCCGGCGTGACGATCGGCTGGTCCGCCCCACGCCTGCGGCAGGTAGCGGGTGCACGAATTCACCCCAGCAGTGGTACAAGCGTGGAAATATCTCTGGGCCGAAACGTCGTGAGAATTATTTTATTATGTTTTTATGTTATTTTATTATTTTTCCTTCTACGTGACTTTACCGAAAGAACCAAGAAGATGAATCTCTGGGACCCTTCATGGCAGCGCTGGCAAGACGATGAAACGAGAAAGGGCTTTATTTATCCTTTCTGGCTAATAAAACCGGAGGCGTTCCGATGCTCAAACGCCAAACGTCTTTGGTGGTGAGGCCGCGTCTACCTCGCAGAGACCCCAGGGCCAGGTGCTGACACCACGTGGCGCTGACGTCTCCGTGTGCTTAGCCCAGTGAGCAAACCACTGCACCGTCATCACCACCATCATCACCACCATCACCATCACCACTGCACCATCATCATCACCATCACCACTGCACAATCATCACCACCATCATCACCACTGCACCATCATCACCACCATCGTTATCACCACTGCACCATCATCACCATCATCATCACCACCACCATCATCACCACCATCATCATCACCACTACACCATCATCATCACCACCACCATCATCACTGCACCATCATCAACATCATCATCACCACCACCACCATCACCACCACCATCACCACCACCATCACCACCACCATCATCACCACCATCATCACCACCATCACCACCACCACCAACATCATCATCATCATCACCACCACCATCATCACCATCAACATCACTGCACCACCACCATCATCACCACCATGACCACCACCACCGCCATGACGTCACCGTCTCTCTATGAAGACGCATCTCCCCCCTCCGCAGCTGCGCCTCGCGACGCTTCTCCGAGTCACCGCGCCGGGGGCACAACGCGAGTCGCCCCCTCCCCCCATCTCCCATCACCACCCAACAAAGATCCCCCGTGTAGCCTTCACAGACTGTTGTGGCAAGTGCTGTTAGCGAGTAGCCCCTATGAAGGCCGGCAACGGCACACGAGGGGGTGGGTGGCCAGCACCACGCCCGGCCGCCTTTGTCTCCCCGGTGGCGATGTTTACTGCACACCGCACCAGGCACTCATGAGGGCGGAGTCGACCTAGGGGAGGCCCAGGACTGGTTCCGCTGCCGCTCATCTTCTCCGGTGTTGGTGGCCGTGAGCGGGAATCGAACCCCGGGCCCACGGGTTCGCAGCGCGGCACCACCGCTCCATCACCACCGACGCCGCGTCCGCATTATCAATAATAATGATTACCATGGCATTATCAACAATAATGATTACCATCACATTAACAACAATAAGAATTACCATGGCATTATCAACAATAATGATTACCATTACATTAACAACAAAAATGATTACCATCACATTAACAACAATAAGAATTACCATCGCACTATCAATAATAATAATTACCATGGTATTATCAATAATAATAATTACCATCACATTCACAATATTAATAACTACTATCGCATTATCAATAATAATAATTACCATGGCATTAACAATAATAATGATTACCATGGCATTAACAATAATTACAATGGTATTATTAATAATAATATTAATTACCATCACATTCACAATAATAATAATTACCATGGCATTAATAATAATAATTACCATGGCATTATTAACAATGATAATTACCATGGTGGTGTTTGTGTTCGGGTGGTGGCCGCAGGATGCCCAGACGTCGCGGGTGCCGGTGTTGAACTCCACCGCTGGAGACTCCGCGGCTCGGCGCCTCTGCCGGGTCCCGCAGAGACGCCGGCCGAGGCGTCTGCCCCGCGGGTTTGTTCCTCAACTCGGCGGTCCATTGCATTGCCGCCGTGTGGTTTAGTCACAAGCGGTGGCAATTTGCGCGCTTTGGTAGACGCGTTGATGCTGACGATGATGACCATCAGCATCACATCCCGGCGAGTGTCATCATCTACTGAGAACCAAGTTACGATTCGCCGAAGCCTTTGAATGAAAGAGTTTGGTTCGCACGATACATCCTAGATACATATACACACAGTACACACAGTACACACAGCACAAACACACACTGTGGGATACACAGTACACACAGTACACACACACACTGTGGGATACACAGTACACACAGCACACACACACTGTGGGATACACAGTACACACAGCACACACACACTGTGGGATACACAGTACACACAGCACACACACACTGTGGGATACACAGTACACACAGCACACACACACTGTGGGATACACAGTACACACAGTACACACACACTGTGGGATACACAGTACACACAGCACACACACACTGTGGGATACACAGTACACACAGTACACACACACACTGTGGGATACACAGTACACACAGCACACACACACTGTGGGATACACAGTACACACAGCACACACACACTGTGGGATACACAGTACACACAGTACACACAGCACACACACACACTGTGGGATACACAGTACACACAGCACACACAGCACACACAGTACACACAGCACACACAGCACACACACAGCACACACAGTACACACAGCACACACAGTACACACAGCACACACACACTGTGGGATACACGGTCCTGTGTTGTCTGTGCAAGGACCATGGCCGCGAGGTTGAAATCGCGATCGTTGAAATTTGTGGAGCTCCGCGAGACGAAGCCACTGCTGGTGGAGCAGGAGGAGGAGGAGGTGGTGGACGAGGAGGTGGACGAGGAGGTGGACGAGGGTTGGGAGGAGTTTGAGGAGCAAGCGGTGGGGGGGAGGGGAGGTCCGGCCCGTGGTTGTGGAAGCTGCTGCTGGGGTGGCAAAGACGCGGGGACACGGAGACGAGAGACGCGAGGTCGAGAGGAGTCGATACGAGGCGGTAAGGGCCACCACCATCATCACCATCATCACCATCATCATCACCACCATCATCACCACCATCATCACCATCATCATCAACACCACTACCACCATCATCACCATCATCATCACCATCATCATCAACACCACTACCACCATCATCACCATCAACACCATCATCACCATCAACACCATCATCATCAACACCACTACCACCATCATCACCATCATCACTATCACCACTACCACCATCAACACCATCATCATCAACACCACCACTACCACCACTACCACCATCATCACCATCAACACCACCACCACTACAACCATTATCACCACCATCACCATCAACACCACCACTACCACTATCATCACCATCACCAACACCACTACAACCATTATCACCATTATCACCATCATCACCATCAACAACACCACCACCACTACAACCATTATCACCAACATCACCATCACCACTACCACCATCAACACCATCAACACTATCAACACTACCACAACCACCATCAACACCATCAACATCACCATCACCACTACCACCATCATCATCAACACCACCACCACAACCAACATCACCATCACCACTACCACCATCATCATCACCACTACCACCATCATCACCAGCAACACCACCACTACCACCATCATCATCATCACCACTACCACCATCATCGTCACCACTACCACCATCATCACCATCATCACCACTACCACCATCATCATCATCACTACCACCACCACCATCATCATTACTTCCATCACCTCCAACTCGGCACCCTTCGAGAGCCTCACTATTACCCATACCTCCGAATGCAGGGGAGTGGGACCCCCTAATGAATGGGAGTGGACCCCCTAATGAATGGGAGTGGGACCCCCTAATGAATGAGAGTGCACCCCCTAATTCAAGACAGTGGGACCCCCTAATGAATGGGAGTGGACCCCCTGGTGCAGTGACGGTGACCCCTGGTGCAGTGACGGTGACCCCTGGTGCAGTGACTGTGACCCCTGGTGCAGGACACGGGACGACGTTTCCCGGAGCGGGGATCATCCTGGCGCTGGTCTCCTCCCTCGCCGTCACCGTCAACTCGCTGTTGGTGAAGAAAATCGATTCCGTGGCTCCGTTGGAAATCGCCTTCATCAGATTCTTCT